GTGTGTGTGTTTTGGTGCCTTGCACTCTCACTGGGCTTTTCTGCTCAAAGCTGACACTATACCACTTAAGCCATACCTGCTTTTTGGTGGCTAGAGATAAGAGCTCATAGGCTTTTCTGCCTAGCATCAAATTATGATCCTCAGATCTCAACTTCCTAAGTAGCTAGAATTACAAACATGAGCTACCAGCACCTGGCCAATTACTGGTTTTTAAATATGTACTGAGAGTTGGGTACTGGTTTAAATGTTCTCAGTGCATCATCACACTACTTCACAACATCCAAAGGAGGCAGTATTGTGATTAAACCATCCCTACTTAAAAGGAAACTGAAGTGAAGAGTAGAATCCACATTTCCATGTCACATAGCCCAGGAATAACCACAAAGTCCGTGTCCTTCACCACAGTGTAATGCTTGGGGTACCTGAGACCTCCTCCAGAACCCCAGGAGGGAGGAAAATAGAACTGGGTAATATTTTGTCCTTATTTTACATGAATAAATTTTACAAATGTTCTTAGTTTGTGAACTGTCAGAAGAGCAGCTTCCCCAAGGTCACACAGTGGCAAGGTCAAGAATAATCTAGAGGCTACTGTTTCCCCTGCACTATGCTATCTGCTAATTCTCTGACCTTGGAAGACATAAAAAGACCTTGCTCTGTTTTCTTCACCTTATACTTGCTTTGTCCTTCCACTGTTAATATTTTTCCTCTTCCTTGGTTAGCAATAGTCTGAGTGATCATTCTAAACAAGGAAGTTAATTTTTAGTCTTGGCATAAAAAAGGAAGGCACAGACAAAAGCAGAGACAAATTCCTCTAGGAAGAAAACTCACTCAGAACACACTGTAGGCAAAAATGTCATAATTGAGCCAAGTGTGGTGATACATACCTGTACAGTAATCCTAGAACTCAAGAGATTGAGGTGGGAGGCTCATGGGTCTGAGACCAGCCTTGGCTACATAGTCTCAAATAAAAAGTTTTAAATACCATCATTTTCAAATATCTTCGTTAGGTGGCCACAATTATTAGCAAATATTTTCCCATAATTGATACAAAGACATCAGAAGCAGAAATAAAATTTCAATTGGTAAGTTCATACTCCAAAAGGGCAATTAACTAGGAAATAATTGTATTTTAACTACCAATTATGGGAGATGATATGAGTCTCAGCACACAGACCTTGCCAAAGGCCACATACACACCTTGGAGCATACCTAGGGGGGATTTTTAGGGAAAGCCATACCAGAAATGTATTCTGACACCTGCTGGAGTCAGGGCTGGAGCAGAGCGGGGGTGGGGGAGAGGGGAGAGGGTTAGTTAGGCCTAGGCCTATATTGCCTGCTGGTTAACCAAGGGATTCACCTTGTGCTTTGGTACTCAGTGAGGGGTATTTCACCTGAGAGAATGGGGTGACAGCTCACAAGGCCGTCATCTTCTGCCCCTGTGTCAGGACAGGGATACATGGGCTCCAGAGGATCAGAAGAGCTGAGTAATATTGTGTCATTCTGAGAGTTTTCCAAAGGACAGGATGGGTGGCACTAGGGATGAAGACCATATCAAAGATATAAAGCTCCCCACTCTGAGGTGAGTTTGGGGTCCGTTTGTCAAATGTGGGGTTACCTAACATCTTTTAAGCCATTTTCAGTTTCCGTGTCTTTAAGTTCGGCCCTCTCATCATGCTGTATTTCTTGTTTACCTGAGTAAAACAGCTTCAAGGAAGAAAGAGTTCTTAGAACCTAGTTTCAGAGATTTCAGTCAATCATGGCAGGAAGAGGGTGGCAGAGCTGAGCAGTCCACATCATAGTGGCCAGGAAAAGTGGGGGGAGAGGGGAAGAGAGAGGAGGGGCAGGCCTGTGCTCACTTGCTTCCTGTTCCTTCCCCTTCGAGACACCCAGTCCCTCAGCTTATAGGATTGTGTAGCCCACATTCAGGGCAAATCTTCTCCACCAAGTCAACACTCTCTGGAAATACCATCTGGATGAACCAAGAAGTATACTTTACTGGTCTCCTGGGTATCTCTCAATACAATCAAATTGACATCACAAGGCTAATGAATGGACCTATGGCCAGGTAAGAAATCTAAAGAAGAAAGAAATGAGATCTATGGGCAGTTTGCCACAGAATCTCCCTGGCTCACTAGGACAGCTGTGGAGGACCTTGTTGTGTCAGGACACTGATGTCACCAGCAAGATATACTGTCAGTGCTGGAGCCACCCTGCCATGTGCCTGGAAGTGGCATATGATGTCCCTGTATAAACCAGCTCTTAGTCACCAAAGGTAGAAATGGACATGTTGCATAGAACCTGTGCCTTTGCCCAGCACTCTGGAGGTGTCAGAGGGATACAGACACAGGAATCCGCAAACCTGTATACCAACCTAGCTCTCTCTCCCTGCCTAAGTAGTGTGCATGTCTGATTGTCTGTGTGCCTGTGTGTTCTGGTCCTAAGGCTTGAAGTTTGAGCCTGGGTGCTGTCTCTAAGATCTTTTGCTCAAGGCTAGCACTCTACCAATTGAGCCACAGCTTCACTTCTGACGTTTTTAGTAGCTAATTGGAGATATGAGTTGCATAGATTTCCCTCCCTGGGCTGGCTTTGAACCACAATCCTAAATTCTCAGCCTCCTGAGTAGCTAGGATTACAGGCATAAGCAACTGGCACCTGGTTCTGGCATATGCATTTTAACTCTTATCCTTCAGTTGTCTCAGATTTTTTAAAGTGGAGATAACACACACGGTTTTTCTTTGTTGTTGTTGTTGTTTTTTAATGTACTATGTGATTTTTTTTTATTTCTTTTGTATGTTCTTCCCTCTATGGTATATCCCCTGTTGTCACTGTATTTGATTTTGGTACCATGGTATTGTATATACATTTATTTGAATTAGGGAAGGGGAACAACAGAATGGTAAGACAAAGGACAAAGGGGGAACCAATGCAACAGCGATATATACAAGACAATATGCTAGAAATGATCTGTACAACTTGTAGGGAGGTGTGGAGGGAGTAAAGTAGGAGAAAAATGAGGGAAAGGGGTAACAAGTTTGACAAGAAATGTACTTACTACCTTACTTATGTAACTGTAACCCCTCTGTGGATCACCTTGACAATTAAAAAAAAACAGGAAAGAAAAAAATGGAAATAACCAAAGCCAATTAACTGGCTCTTAGGAAAATTGTCTATTAAACAAAGATAGCAAAATAAGGTGTCAGTATAGTGTTTGGTGTAGTAGGTGCCCATAACTATTAGTTTCTCAATTCTTATATTTATCTAATATACTAGTTTTATTTTTCCTGGACTGCCATCTCCAAATCACTTAAGGTTTGGTTAGACAGAGAATAAAATCAAACAGAACACAGTCTCCAAGGATGACAGGAAGTAAAGACATTTTTCAAGTTGACAAGCATCCACTCACAATAATCCTGGGGTCTGTTTGACCAATGAACCATGAAATTATCCAATTAGACTGCCATCAGCCAGCATTCTGACAGCTTACATAAAAGGATATCATTTTTCAGATATGTGATTATTTTAATATCACAAGAAAATTTCTCCAAAATCTACTAGTCTAATAATGTTAATTTTAAAATGATGGTAAAGCTGGACATGCCAGCTCACATGTTTAACACTCGCTACTTGGGAGGCAAAGAACAGGAGAATTGCTGTTTGAGGCCAGTCTCAGCAAAAAATTCACAAGAATCCATCTCAACTAATAAAAAGCTGGGTACAGTGACATGTGCCCCGCTATGCAAGATGCCTAAAAAGTAGAACCATGGTCCAGGCTGGCCTGGTCAAAAACTGAGACATATTCCAAAAATAACAAAAGCAAACAGACACAGGAAGTACCTGCTTGGGAAGTACAAGTCCTGGATTCAAATTCCAGGATATACACACACACTCACACACACACAGTAAGTAAAATGTGGTTTATGGATAGATCCTCCTTGAGTGTACAGCTTATAATGCACACATAATATCCATGTTGACACTGCCAATATCCAACAGAGTCCATTTTCTGTGTGCATCTCTGGTTTTTTATGAGTATCACTTTATTGTGACTCATAGTGAACAGGAGTATTAAGCAAAACAGATGTAGGCTCAAAATAACTTCATATTAATCAACATAATAATTACTTTTCTCCACAATAATGACTGCAAAGGATGACACAGTATTACTCTATTTACTAAGGCCTCTGCCAAGAAAATTAAATATCCAGTAAATAATTGAAGACAATGTTTAAAACAGCTGTCAAAGTCCACTAAGATCTGGAAAATAATGATTTAATTATGATATTTGAAATTAAAAATAACTTGGAAAGTAAAAATGATGTGCATGAGTATACTATACCAGAAGGGTTTTTTAGGACCGATTAGCTCCATGTAACCTTGTCAAGAAAGGTCTCTCAAGACATGGGCACCAGTGGTTCACATCTATAATCCTAACTACACGGGAAGCCGAAATCTGAGGATTACTGCCAGCTTGGGTAGAGACTCTCTCTCCAATTAAACAGCTAAAAAGCTGGACTAGCAGTGGGGCTCAAAGAGTAGAGTGCCAGCTGTGAGTTCATGAGGCCCTGACTTTACCCAGGACTGGGTACAACAATAACAACAAAATGTCAGCCTGCTGCCAGTGGCTCAGACCTGTAATCCTGGCCACTTAGGAGTCTGAGATCTGAAGATCACCATTCAAAGCCAGCCAGGGCAGGAAAGTCCATGAGTTCTTATTCTAATTAACCACAAGAAAACCAGAAGTGGCCCTGTGGCTCAAGTGGTAGAGTACTTGCCTTGAACTGAAGAGCTCAGGGACAGCGCCCAGCTCCAGAGTTCAAGCCCCACTACCAACAACAACCAAAAAAAAGTCCTTCAAAATGAAATAGAGTCTAATCACAGTGATAAATCACTTGTTTTGACCTGCTTGTTGATTAAGAATAGAGGTAAAAGCCAAGGTATTCTGAGACCTCACGCCTCCTGGGAAGTGGGGCCCAGTCAGCAAAGCTAGAGACTGCTCTTACCCAGCATCATCTTGGAAGCCTTCCAGCTCATCCCGCTGCTCCGCCAGTGTGGCTTCCAGATCCAGGTAGGTGCCATTGTGGGACAGCTGCAGTGTGCAGTCATCCAGCTGCAAGAGAAAGAGTGATATTTACACCCGGCCTGTTCTTTGGAGGGGAACTTCTTATGGTGAAATCCCCTCATTACTTTCATGTGATTCTAAAAAGCAAATATTATTCTGCACTGTGAATCATAAGTAAAAGAAGCAGCATGATGTAAATAGATGGGAGTTCACGGGGTGCCTAGTGGACAGGTCAGGATCTGCTCAAGGACTGACACTACCAGGACCAGAAAGATGTGGAGGGGGCAGGACAAGTAACCTGCTCATGTTGCATCCGAAGGGCCTATGGAAAGCTATGGGTTTAGGGAATGAGAACTAAGATCCTAATGTGAGGGTGACAATTAATTAAGATCCATGGGGTTTGAAAGGCCAACTTGGTGGGGAAAGACACAGTTTCTTTCCATCATGAGCACTGTACTTATTCCAATTCTAGGGGCTTACTTAGCACATGACAAATAATAGTTATTCCATCTATAATTTCTTTGCGGTTAAATTAAGAGAAACATTCTCCTTCTGAATGGCAACATATGCAAATTACAACACATCAAAGAGGGCATTAGGTCTCTTCCTTGCTAGTCTCATTGAAAATACTACTACTGATCATTTAACTTTACAGGATGACCCACTGTAACAATGAGATGTACAAGACAGTATGATGAAAACAAACTTTACAACTTTGCGGGCGGGCAGGCAGGCGGGGGGTTGGGGAGGGAGGAGTTGGAGAAGTGAAGAGGAAAGAGATGGTAGGGGAAACATAAAGGAGAGTATAACAATGCTCGATAGGAAATGGACTCATGACCTTGCTCATGTGACTGTAACCCCTCTGGACAGTATCTTTACAATAAAAATATATTTTTTTAAAAAAATAAAATAAATAATTTAACCCAACTGTTAATAATCTTCCAGGCCCTCTTCTAAACATATGACTTATTTAAGTCATTTAGTTCCCATATGAAGTTTATGTTTTAATGTTAATCCTTTTTATTTTGTGCCAGTACTGGGGCTTGAACTCAGGGCCTAGCACTATCCTTTAACTTTATCAATCAAAGCTAGCTCTCTACCATTTGAGATCCACTTTTGACTTTTTGGTGGTTAATTGGATAAGATTCTCACACACTTCCCTGCCTGGGCTGGTTTCAAGATGCAATCCTCAAATTTCAGCCTCAGAAATCACTAAGAATACAAACATGAGCCACTGAAACCCAGCTTTGTTAACACATTTTTTATAAGCCCAAAAAGAAACTAAGTAACATCCCCAGTGTGACCTGTCTGGCAAATGGTACAGTGAGATTTGGATGCCAGCAGTTTGGCATCACTCTGTACCCTCTCTACAGAACAAGACTCACAAGGGACTTGAAAACATGCTTGTAAAACTCAGCTGGTATATATGCCAACCCTGGACTTGAACTCAGAGCCTGGGTGCTGTCCCTTAGTTTTTCCTTTCAAGACTGATGCACTACTTCTAGATTTTTAGTGGTTAATTATAGACGTTCCTTCCTAGGCTGACTTCAAGCCATGATTCTCAGATCCCAACCTCCTGAGTTGCAAGGATTATAGGTGTGAGCTATCAGTGTCCGGCTAGCTTACCATGGCTTTTAATATCACTTATTTAACTCTACGTCACTATAATTTAATTGAAATAATGCTTCCTTAAAAACTGACTCACAAACTTCTTGAGGATTTCACAATCAATATTTAGGAGACACCACTACCCCCCGGCTAGGGCCAGCACACAGATCCTGGCTTCCTTGGTCACTCAATTAAGTACCTAGGGTAGAGAGAGCAGAGGAAGTTAAAGGGAATGAGACTTTGACCTGGCTTTTAGATCTCTGTTATCCCCACCTAAGCACACCATAGAAGCCATGGTGTGCTGACAAACCAGGGATGTCACCCCATCCATAATGGCATCAGTGGCTATTTTGCATGTCATCTCCATCCGGCACCTTCCAAATTTATCCCCAGCTGCCAAAAATGACTGTGCTGTCTTCATGACAGTCCTCTTGGCCTGTCAGGCATCTGCCCTCCATGTGCTCTGGGACAGATGCAAATCCCAATAGGAAATCCTACGATTTCAACAATCCCTAGCCCTTAGCCTAACTGCTGTTCTCACCGCTCCTCTCCTCAAACTCCAGGCAGCATTAACTCCCTCAAGTCTATCTTAACAAAATTATATGTCAGACCCAGGCAGGGTACCAAGTAACACCGAAATACCTCCTTCCCTCAATAAGGTGGTTTCATTGAGCAAGCCGGACACAAACAGAATACAGGGCAGAATTAAAATGCCATTTTTATTAACTGTCAAGTTCAACAAAATGAATTCCAGGAAGCTGGAACATGTGTTAGAGGTTGAAGTCAAGGGGAGGTGGGTAGATGAATAGAGAGAGGAAGAGTGGGTGAACGCAGTCATAATATTCAATGTACACATGGGAAAGTGGGATGATGTAAACTGAGGGGTAGGATGGGTGGGGAAAGATGGGAGAGAAGCATGAAAGGGTTGACACTGATCAAGAGTCAGTGGACTCACACATTAACACATTGAATTGAAACCCCTTTATACAACTACTTAAAGGTAGTAATTTTCCAAAGAAAACACTAGATACTATGTTGAAAATGAACTATATAACTTGTTGGTGGGGATGAGAGGGGAAAACTGGGAAAGAGAATGGGAAGGGGTGACATTGTCCAAAAAGGAATGTACTCTTTACCTGATATATGTAACTAGAACCCTTCTGTATATCACCTTTATACTAACAATTTTAAAAAATCAAAAAATATAATTTAAAAAATAAATTGTCCAATGTGTATAAGCTCTTCTACTCCTGCACAGACCCAAGTATCCTGCAGAAAACTGCCCAAATCTGCTTCCTGAAAAAAAGATGATTTCCTATGCCAGATATAACCCCTTAGCTGCTAACTAACGTGTGGACAGGCCCTTCACAAAATTAATATTTGTGCGCGTTGCTCATCTTGTCTCTCAGGAAGCATGTGGAGACTGGCAGTTGCAGGTGGGGCGGGGATAACAACTCAGGCCCTTAGAAAATGAGTCTTGTGACACAAAGGGGTTTCTACAGCCTGGTGGCCTGGTGGCTAACACAGTTACTGCATACTCTCCAGACCCCCCCTCTCATTGCTGCACCCCATACATGTGAGGTTAATATTTAAACCATCACATAAGCCAAGTAGCAAAAATAAAGGGCTTGTTGGCTGGACTGACACAGTGAAACTGTAAGGTCCCCCAAATCCTTGGAGGGAGGGAGAAGGGTGAGGAGGATCTGCTCTAGGTATCATTTTTGTAAACAAAGTGATAAGTACTCTTACTGATTTCTTCCACCTTAATGAAAATTAAGTTATAAACTTCTAAAACACATGTCCAATGAGAATGGGAAGTGACGGGGAGTTGATTCCAATCAGATTATCATAGAAAGTTGGACAGAAATAGCCAAACTTCCCCCTACAGAGTGAAGGACTCAGACCCCTCCCTGCCTGCCCAGCCCCTGACCTCAATTCCTGCTCACAGCCAGGCAACCTGATCCCCTCCCTTGGCCTCTCATGTCCAATGTCTTCCCAGATGACTTAAGGGCCCTGGAATTTCCTGACTCCAACAATTTTCATGTCAACCCTAATCCCCTGGCAGCATGTCCCCAGTGCTCCTTTCTTGGTTATAGGTTTGGTGTCCAGGCCATTGTCGGGCACTTCAGGACATAAGACAAAGCAGAGTTATAGGGCTATTAGATGAGAGTGGCAATTAGGGAATGTAGGGGCAGTAACTGTGGCATGGCAGGGAAATCTCATATCAGGTAACAGGCTGTCAACCTGTGGCCACAATTCTAGCATGGGGGTTGGGGGAGTGCTCGAGAGGGAGCCAATCCCAGAGCTGTACAAAAGGTCCTTCCAGATACCCTGCCTCTCATGCTGTTCCCCGGAGTCACCACACCAGATTAAAATAAGTCCCCATTGTCTGGAGACCGAGAAAGAGCCTTGCAATCCTCCTAAAGAGGCTGTGCAAAGTCACGCTGAGACTCTTGACTGCTCCTACAGACAGCATGCTCAAAAAGAATAAACAGACTCACCATCCCAGAAAAAACATCAAACATCTAGAACAAGGCTGATGTCACGTCTCGATTTATACGCTTTCCCTTTCTTAAGCCAGTGAGGTGGCGCATTACTGGGGCAGTTTAATGATTATCTGGGTTTTGGCAGGAGGTCTGCAGCCAACTCTGGTCTAGGTAATAAAACTTCTGTGTAGCCCTGAAATAGATTTATACTGAACCAGTCTATAAATACACATTGAGACTATCCTTTAAACTAATTTTGGTAGTAGTTTAGTGGGCTGATTTCTAAAAAAGAAAAAAAAAGTCAATCTGAAAAAAAGTTCTAATCAATGTCACCTGACTGCATCTTATATTTTGGATTCTTTATAAAAGTAGCAGAGACAAAAAAAACAGATTTGGATTACAACAGAAACAACATAGGAAAGAGAGCTTTCTAAATACACACACACACACACACACACACACACACACAAAGCAATGCCACATGTCCCTTCTATAATTCTTAATAAAACCAACACAAAATCCTGATGTAGTCATTCAGAATTTTATGGGCTACCAACACCCTTCTCCCTGCACTGAAGAGGATAAGATAAAGAGATCAAACCCTGGGTTTGCCCTGTGTCTACCATTCTCCCATGAATAGTGAGGTTGTGGTATTCTTGCCATTATCCTTCAATTTGAACATTTCACTGTATAAATTCCTTTTACATATCCATTCACTCTAACTAAAACCAATATTCAATAACATCATTATTGAACATGTCAGACATTGTACCTGGACATTTTTCCCTGACTAATACAATATAAGAACTATTTCTAGGCTATTTATGTTGTATTAGGGATTATTAGTAACTTAGGGATGACATACAGTATATAGAAGAATAGATACAGGTTAAAGGCAAAGAATACCATCTAACTTGAATAGCCACAGATTTTGTTGCCTACAGAAGTCCTGGA